TTTCTGAGACTTGAAAAAATCAACACTCTTGTCAAAATGAATATAAACTATTGTCATTTCCCCTTGTGCATCTCCCAAACACGGGTGAGAACAATTCCTTGTTCCTTCTTCCTCTCAGATAGGTAGCTGTAATTGACTTCTCCCAATAAGTAAACCTCTTTGAACTTTTCTTGTCAGCTTTGAGATAGCTTTACAGATAGAGATCAAAGGCTCAGTGCCTTGAATGGATGGTTTGGTGCCACAGGTTACCACCTCCAGTTCCAAACTTCCTCTTCTCCCACCAAGAAAGCCATTGCAGGGGGTGGATAAAACCCCAGAGTGGATGAGGGGCTGTAAGGCCCTACCTTGGACCAGTAGCTACTGAAGTGGTTTTTCTGACTGCACCTCAAGGATTCAGCTGTCTCTTACACATTTTTATGTGTTTTACACATATCACAGCCGTAGAAAACACCAGCTGTGCCCAGGTGGCTGTTTCCACGTGGCATTTCCTTGCAAAGGACTCCCACTCTTGCTTTTCCAGGTAGAATATAAGGTTGTGTGCCTGTGGGGATCTGAAGCACCTGAAGGAGGTCTAATGAGGAATTAGATGCTTTCTGTAATTGGTATTTCTTTTTGCTTTCTACTGAGGAATTAGAAGTGAAGGGGGCAGAATTTGTTTTATAACATTTAATTGCATTGTCTTTGAGGCACAAAACTGACAAGTAATATGAAAATACATCTTAGGAAGACACCCAGTTCACCAAAATCCATGTTATTCCACAAAGACCATGGCAGAAGCATTAATTTCATGGAAGCCTGGCATAGGAAAGGTGGTCCTTTTCTAGTTTATTAACGCAGTTTGAGAAGATATTTCAACATAAGAGCTACATGCTTTTCAAAATCTCAAGTGGTAGTTTTACAAATCCCCTTCTAGGTAAGCAGATTCTCCCCCCAAAAGGAAGCAGGAGTCTTCTCTTTCTCCAGAAACAATAACTTTCTTTCTTAATTTGGTCACTTGCATAGCTATTTATAAAACTGAAGGATTATGGAAACACAAAACAGAGATCAGCTGGGGAAAAGGTGGTGGAATAATTGTGCTGTGAGAAGCCATAAAGGAGGAGTCTGGACATGCTGTTCCTTCTTTAGTTTCATATTCTAATGTGGGGTTTTTTTTTAATTAACAGAAGTAGCTGTAATAATTTTTAGTTTTCTGCTCTTTGAGTTTTGGTTTGTACCTTCTAATAGCTTAGCTTTTATTCTCCAAAATTCGTTATAATTTTCCTTGCTTTCTGTTTTGTGGTTCTTTCCTGTAAAACCTTGTAGCTGAGGCAAGTGGGTGTTTTTGGAGATTTTTTTGTTTTAAGTCTAAAATTTGCACTTACTAAATCCCATTGTAGGTTTCTGATGCCAAGTATTTAAATTTTCCTGAAAAAGAACCCAAACAAACAAACAAAAACTCTGAAAAAGTGTTTTTTGTTTTAATGTGATCCGCCTTTCTTAAGCCAAAAGTGGGTGCTACACCTACCCACAGTCTTATGTAAAGTGAATGGATGTTGTAATCTTCAGAAAATGTGACTTTCTAGGCACAGAACTACAGGCTGTCCTGTCAGTGAGAAACAGATATACCCAAAAAGGTATAAGAACATGCAATTGGCATGCAAATTGTCTGATTTACAGTGTATTTCTTTTTTAAATTATTTTTACTATTTTAAAACCAATTCAGCTTCATCAGTTCAAGACCTAACTTGTGAGGAGGAGGAGAAGGAACATACAGGTCCCTTACTGTTGAATGAATCAATATTGCTTATAAAGCAATTACTGATTTATAATACTATAAATACAATTTCTCAAAAACTAGTCTAAATGGTGGGAGAATTCCATATTACACATGTCTGTCTGAAAGTAAGACAGACTTCTCTTTCTCAAGTCTAGGGACTCTGTACCTCATCTCACATCTGAGTTAAAAACTTGTCACACACTTTATTCTTCATTTTTCTCTTTAAAACCTATTTTACCTTTAGAAAGCTTTTGTAGGATAGTGTGCATGCAAAAGAGCCAAAGGCTTCCAGGTGATGTTTGAAGGTGGGGATGTGTCACGGGCCAGGTCTACCCACCATCCTCCCTTCATCATCACATATTCCTCATAAGCTGAGCTGTGACCAGATCAAAGAGAGGGTGGGTTTGTTTTATTTGTTTTATCTTGAGGCAGCTCTGCCAGTCCTTGAGTGCAGCAAGGTGTTTTGTCACACAACAAATCCTTCTTTCAGGATGTATGATATATACAATGGGAAAGCTTTCCACCTTCCTTCAAGTACTTTTCACAGCTACAGACCCCTTTGTCAATAGATCTGATAATTCTGAATTACTGGAGTTTTTAGCTACAAAAATAGCAACACAGGGCTAAAAAGTGTTTTGGTTTAGGTTTCTGTCTTTTTTTCTTATTCCTTTCAACATGTAGAATTTCTAGTGTACTTGTAAGAAATCTAGAACTTTTTAGAAGCACTTACAGCCAAGACTTCAAAATTTACTATCTGCAGAACTTTGAAAATCTATTGTGTGCCACGAGATCCTAATCAAAGGGTCCCATCCAGTCTCTGCAGGTTACAATTAAAATGGATCTCAGAATATCTATTGCCGAAATGTGTTTTCAAAGGTTAGCAGTAACACAGACTGCAAACCTGATTTTGCATAAAAAGATCCCAAGCAGGTTTAATGAAGAGTTGGAGCTTGTAGTTAAAGAAGCAACTTTAAGTTTTACCTCTTGATTATCTTTAATTATATGCAATGCAAAGACGAGCATTACTCATTGTTTTTATTTACAGTACTAGCTGATGGAGGTCCTTGAGTATTTCTGCTCATCCCAAGAGAGCACTAGAGAATAAACATTAGTTGGTGATGAGGTCCTGACTCAGAGGTGTTGTGAAGGAGGAGGTTGTAGTTCTGTACCTGACACAAGGGCTGCCTGCACTGGGCCATGGGAGCCTCCATTTCCTGGGTGCTCTCCGGGCTGCTGCTCTGGTGAGGTACTCTCTCAACAAACCCCTTTTCTTGGAGTGCAATCTCAAGTATTTGAGAGCCATACCACAAGTATTTTAGTACTAGTCAGATATGTAGATTCAGTCAAAACTTTAGGTATATAAATGCCCTTCTGTGCTTCACTTTCCTCATCACTGGAATGGCCTTTGGGCCTGGGATTGAGTGCTTGAAGATTTCGAGAATCCTCTTGCCGTAGACTTTTCCATCTGCCTCTCATCTTTTCTTCTGTTTCTCTAAGATCATAAATCAGATGGACAGCTCTTCCTAAAACTTTTCAGTTGTTGCCTTTTATGTGGCCTGGCACTTCAAGAAATTTCAACCTCCAGCTAACTGAACGGAGTGGTTTTTGCAGTTCATTCAAACAGGAGATCAGCTGTGCTTGATGGCTTCCTACACTCCCCACTTATTGCACTGGTTGTCTGCTTACTCTCACAGGCTTCAGACAAGATAAATTCTCCAGGGACAGCAAACAAGGATTTTAACAACTCCTACAAGACCTATGTAACTTGAAAAGCATATTAGGTACTCTCTAATTTATCAAAGTTGTAATTAGACATCTAAATGCCTCCATAAGAAGAATAAGGAATAAGAGACACGGATTTTTAATAAATTTGACTTGGCAAAAAATGGGAATGTTTTCATGTCAGTCCATCTGCTTGGAAAAAATACCATAATAGCACCTGTGCATGTGATTTACTAATTTAAATGCACCTTTTTAAATAGAAATATGTAATAAATTTATATTTTAAACTATAGCCTTATTCAAGACTCATGGAACATCCATGATGCTCTCATCAATTCACCTAAATGTGATCAAATGAAAAGCAAACTAATTCAGGTACTTATCAATTTTGTGTTGAATCTTATTTGCATGCATGTGTGAAGATTTTTTTAGCAAATAAATGACAATATAGAATAAAACCAGTAATGTGAAAAAGCCCACCTTTTTTAAAATAAAGTAATAATTTTGCTAATGTAAATATATTAGTGTCAGTGATGAGCAATAAGCAATATTCAGATAGAAAGCTACAATTAGATTTTTGTTGGTGAGTTCTAACTTTGACAAACAACAAAAGAATATAACTGATGCTGACATCCATCCCTAATTGAAGCCTGGCAAGCCTTTTTGAAAGAAACACAAACACTTACAACCATTCTCCCCAAACTAGAACTAAACCATTTAGATCTTCTCTCATTCTTTTCATTCCTCATTACTTTTCATTTATAGACACTGCCAGGTGCCAGCTGGGGCACAGCACAGAAACAGCAAACTGCAGATGATGGCTGTTTCTGATGTTTCAAGCAGAACCAGAAGCTGAGTCTGTTAAGAAAAAAACCCCAACAAATGCAACAGAAAAGCAGAAGTTCTTCTGGGCTTTTCACCTCAGATTTAATGTATCTCATTAGTTTAGATAATAATCCAAGCTACTCTTAGAGATGTAGAATATTGTTATTGGCAATTTTGGAGCATTTTGCTCTACACCTGTTTCTCACAACTATAAGTAATTAATTTCTCTACATTAGCAGGTTACAGTCTATCATTTTGCTATAAATTATCGGTTTGAGTTTTCAGCAGAAGTTAAAGATGTGCTTGTGAATTATTTGTCCATTATTCTCATTATATTTAAGTGTCCCATGTACGGCCAGAAATCAGAGGACATCATCATTATAGCCTTGCTAGAGTTTTGAAGTCAGTTCTAGATAAAATGGCATCATTTAAATATTCTAAACTATTAATTTAGGGAAGGATTTATTTTTTCCTGATGCACGTACTCTTAAATTGATTGTTTATACCATATTTAATTGTATTTGGAAGGATAACACAAATAATGCTAAAGAGCTCTTTAAAAGGAAGGAAAACTTCATGCACAAATGATTTAGCAATTAAACTACTTATTGAAGATACATTGAGCATATTTTTCTTAATTTATATAAATGTTCAACCACTTGGTAAATTAATGCTGGCTTTATTTAATATCTTACAGGAAGCTCCAAAAGATGGTGCATGACATCAAGAAAAATGAAAGTGGCATAATAAACAAGTTTAAAAAGTAAGTTTGCAATGCCAATCCCTAGTTGTATCAATGTGGGGAAGTCTGGATTATGAGCAGTGATGTGTAGTACTTCAGTGATGGGACCATGTCATTCCAGAGGGATGCACTTCAGTGCATGGAAGGAGCTTCAGTTCAGACTGCAACCTGCAGAATTGTCATCAGTATTAAGAGTATCATAAAGGAATTGCAGAACTGGAGTCCAATGATAGGTTGTGTTTATAGCCTTGAAAAAAACAGTATTTGAGTGAAGAGTCTTTTTTGGAATGTTTGCTGGGAATGGTCATTGCTTGTTCTTTGCATGTGTGCGTTTCTCCTTAGGCAACTGTTTAGGTTTCCTGCTGCAATTAAGTTGAATTTGAGCTCCACCTTGAACCAACTGGTCAGACATCATACTTAAAATTCCCATAAAAATGCAAAGTCCTCCTGTGTTTCAGTCTTATAAAACAAAATCCAGCATTACCTAGCTCCCTTATTCTAGTAAGATACATTGAACAACATGCAGATTGTGTCACGTGCATGAAAGTATTATAAAATATTCATATGTATTTATACACAGAAAGAAATTCCAGTAATTTTGCATCCTTGTCAAATGAATACACTATTCAGTGTTTCCAGACAAACATCTATTTAAAGCAATTAGCTATTTAGCACACTTTTCTTAATGCAACAGCTCATTTGCGTTGAAATTCCATTTGGATGCGATTTTCTCATTCAGATGTCTTTCTTTGGATGGGTCATTGGCAACAAAAGTATTAAATACTTTTAGAAGTTAATTACAATGTCTATCTGCTGTGTTTCCAGGACAACCATGTTTAATTCTAGAAATACAGCTCTTGTACATAAAAGACACATGGAAGCATTGTTTTGAATTGTTTTTAAAGAGGGACCATGATGGCTCCATCCAAGGGAAACAGCTAATTCCCGGTGTATCCGAAGCCTTCAGTCAGTCAGCTGCTGGCAGCAGCAGTAGGGCCCTGCCTGCTTTGGCTGTGCAGGAGCTCTGGAGAGCCAGGCTGGCTCAGCTCCTGCCCTGCTGCCAGCCCAGGCAGGGCTGGTGTTGGTGGGCAGCTGCTGGAGCTGCCAGAGGAGGGGGATACACTCCCAGGAGCAGCAGGACTGCCCAGCTCTCCTGTTCCCCAGGCAGGAGGGGTATTCTTGGCCTCCCAGCACTCCTTTGTGCTCTCATTTCCAGAGCTATGTTTTCTGCCCACAGACTTTGAGCAGGCTCTGATGGTAAAACACCTGATCTATCAGATGGATTTTTGAGATAATTTTTTTTCCTTTACTAATTCTCTTTCACTCCAAGATTGCTGCAGTTCACACTTAATCACAGTCACTTGCTATACTTACTTATTTCCCTACAAGCACAAAAGGAAATTTTCCCATAAAATGGCCCTCTTTCAACTACTTGGCATTTTAAGTGTGTTTTTGTTTTTAACACAGTGACCACTGTGTTCACCGCCCAACTACAAAAAACTCATTTTCACCTGGGACCTGCTGACAGGGAAGAGCTGCTAGGCTGTCCAAAGCTTTTGGTGGGGTTTTGGAGTGGAAGGGGTTAAAGAGGGTTTCTTACAGTTGCTGCTTTTTAATAAAGGATGGCTTCCTACTTCACAATAGTTGTTTAACTGTAATTAATAATGTTCCAGTGGACTCAGTTCAAAAGCCTCAGAGAGGAAAGATGACAGAAACAGCAGAACATCTAAGGTTTATCATTTGAGGCTACAGAGTGTCTCCTATAGTAGCCTGAACGTGAATTCTGTTGTTAATCAGTTGCTCTGATTGTGTCTTTCCTAAAGAATAAGAAGGGAAGAACAGAAAAGGGAGAAGTAACATGAACCAAGTGTAGCAGAAGCTGGGAAGGTCATCATTAAGTGTCAAAGATTGCTGCTATAGCACTGTAATTCTTTGATTCATGCAAGATAAAAAAAATATAAATATATATATATGTGTGTATATATATATATATATAAAAGAGTAGACTCATAAAAAGTCAAAGTATGACTGCAGCACAAAGCTCACATGTCAACTCTCCCAGTCATAAGAACACAAAGAACATGAGGTATAAAAGCATAATAATCTTTCTGATGTCACTGTGATTCATTTGAGTCATAATAATCTTTTTTGCAGTTATGAAGATCAGAAATTTAGTTTGTAAAAATTTAAGAACTTCCAATATTTGCACATGACTTCAGGGTTCAAGTCTTGAACGCAGCACATAATGAGACTTGCAATAAAAGCATGAGTTGACAGCACTGATAAGGGTATGTACAAGAGGAGTTAAGCTTTACAGAATTAGAGCTGGCTGTGTTCCTTACTATGCAGTCTTTGGGGGCTTTTTGTTTGGTTGTAAAAACAAACAAAACATGGTTATCCAGATGATCACTACTTCCATTTCAGTTAAAGGATTATTTTATTAAATGTCAAGGTTCTAAACATGACTGAAGCAGGAAAATTTTTATTTTAAATGGGCTTTGTTTAGCATATATTCATCTATATGCTGGGAAAGAAAATCAAAATCAAACCTGTTATAAATAGAAATAATTTTAAGAGAATTCAAACAGTGTGCTTGCGTATCTGAAGCCTAAAGTTATCACCCAAATGTATGCCATAAGCCTCTGCTATACAAATTTAAACAATTATGAAATATTCGTGAAATGCAGTGACTAATGACTTATTAGCAGTATTTGTTAAAACACATCTAAAATCTGGATTGGCTCCTGATTATGCAGAAGTGTAAAAGGTCTTGCATCTCAAAACATTTGCTCTCCAGGCTAGTTCATCTGTGGGGTGCAGGTGGGGAGGAATTCATCTACTATCCATGTGTGTCTTAAGGATCTGTGGAAAGCAAGCTGAGCATTCCTGGTAACAGGAAAGAAATAGAAAGGTTGTTTTTTCCTTGCTTAAAAGTTCCTGTTTGTTCCCCATTCCGACTCAACGTTTTCTGGCAGTAAAAATATGGGCCACTGCAGGATAGCTGTCACCTGCTTGCCCTTAATCACATGCAAAGCTGTTTACAGTCCTAAGTCCCAGCTGCTGTGCAGATCACAGTGTCGAGGAGGATTATGTACTCAGGTGTAGAAGCAATGAGTGTAGCCAGCATTGGATAAACAATGAGAGCTGGGGGCATTTTTTTCATACTCAGGTCCTTGGTAATACAGAGCAGGGAAGCAGAGCAATCATAGGTTTCAGGATGTAGGCTGCCTGTGCTTGAAACACGCTGTAAAGACAGCACTCATCTGTACATCGTAAGCTTTAAGCCTCTAGGCTTTGTTCAATGGAATCCTGACTACACTAAAGTTGGGTGTTAAAAGTCACACTGCATGTACAGCAAAGTCAGGACTTCACCTAAAGTTTTGTATGTGCTGACCTACTGTATTGAATAAGAAACAAGAAGTTCCATTTATTCTCCTTGTTGTAGTATCACATCCTTCACAAAGCTATCAGAAATCATGCACTTTTACTCAAGTTTCTGACTGCACACTATCCAAATGTCCATTTCTTGAACATTTGCCATGTGACCTGGAAGATGGAACAAAGATGCTTTACCCATCTTTTTAGTTGGGTAAGTCTTTGCTTCAGATTTGTGTGGTCCATTTTTCTATACCATTTATAATTTAGGCAGTAACTTCAGGCAGAAAAATAGTTGTGTCACTAAATATCTCTTCAACCTGCATAGCTACAAGTAAAAGGCATTCATGATCAAACCCTTGGCAGAGGGAAAAGCGGTATTTTATGAACCAAACAGTGAGAGAAAGTACCAAAATCAAGCTGTACCACGCTTAGAGAAAGAAAACAGGAAAAAGTATAATGCCTTATTTTAACTGTTATGATGAAGAAACATGAAAATTACTGTGTAGCTGAATAGAATGTTTTGAGTGTCAGGATTTTTATTACAATAACTGCCATAGCGCATTGTAAGAACGTGTGGAAGAGTCATAATAAAAATTTCAAAAAAAATCCCTTTCATTTTAATTTTATCTTGTACAATCACTGTATAATTCCAAGTGTATGACAAACTCTTTCACTAGGAATACACAGTTCAGGAAAAGTTGATGTTTTGCATCACACCTTTTGGACCTCTGAAAATGTTTCTGGCAAAGTTCAATTAATTTACTGTGTAATCACAAGTGTGATGTTCTAGTGCATGTAAACCTAATACATACTATAAATACTCAGGTCAGAAAAGATACCAATATAATTTTTGTAAAAACTATTATATTAAAATAGTTCCTAACAAAGGAGTGGACTTTTTACAGACATAACAATACAAGAAAGCAATTGACTTTTGAAAACTAGGAGTTTTCAGGCATATCTTAAATGCTGGGGGACTGAGCAAAAACACTAGTAGGGAAATGCACTTGTGGAAAAATTTAAGTGCTACGTGTAAAGGTCTACTAATACGTATGTTTCGTTGTTTTTCTGGGTGTAGCCTGTAAAAACAAGTGTTGCTAGAGCAAAATACCCAAACCTCTGCTGCAGTTTATTTTCAAATTCTTCACTTAATGCAGGAAAACAAAAATGTGCTACAAATTCCAAGTAATTAATATTTACAGCTCCTACAGGACCATATATGTCAGAAAAGTTAAATACATGCCTAAATATTTTGTTGGGTCAAGCTCAGCATATTATAGGGGGAAATTTTGGAATACATTGCTTTAAAATGGAATAATTTATTCTCTTAAAAGTTGTTCTGAATTTCTGTACCCTGCATTCTATTCATATGTGAGAAGCATCTATAATGCATTATATGCAATGTCTCAAGTGCTACCTGGTTATTTGTTGAAGCTCCAATATATGTACTGTGGTTAAATACATTTAAATATGCATGGTCAGTTGGATGGCTTTTGGTTCTTCCAGTCCCTTCTCATTAACTTCAGGGAGCAAGGCAGAGTCAATTGCCATTCTGCAAGGATCTGTGTGGACAATGAGGTCAGAGTCTGCAGTAGCTGGGGAACCACGCCTTGAAGTAGGGTTGTGTCTTTTGAGCTTGTGGTGTGGTAGAGCTCTGGCTCCTGTGAAGTGAAGCTCCAGCTGACTTCAAAAGAGCCTGGATTCCAGTTCTGGCACTTAGAAAATTATACCAGTACTGTGAAAACTTCTTTTTAAGTGGATTTGAATTTTAGAATAAATAACATATTTGAAAAGATTCTTGCAAATGTAGATGTGGCCGTGAACTCTTTCAGCTCTGTGACAGAAACATTATTTCTTTTTTTCTATTGATATTCAGGTTCCAAAATGAACAAGTGGCCTTAATTTGCAAAACTGGGAAAGATACTTGGGATCGGTATGCTATTCCATGGCTGCACCATGGCATGATAGGCTGCTTAGACACAGACCTCTGTTCTTACCTCGTGTGCTTTCGTTATAACGTATTTACATTTTCTGCCAGGGTCACTGCCAGGATTTACAGGGCCTGGTACCAAGTGTGGAAGATTTCTGCTTAGCAGCTTAGAAATGTGTGATATTGCTTAAGCCATGTACTTTATACCGTGACCTAGACAGCCTCTCACTGTTGCCTCAGTTCCACTATTTCCCAAGTCTCCAAACAACTCATGGCAGATGTATTGTAAAATACATCAAGAGATCTTGGTCTGCCCTTCCTAAGACTTGCCCTTCCTAAGACTTGAGCCCTGGCAGTGGCCCTGGGATTTTCTTTCTAACATGGCTGTGCTAACCTGGACAGAAGACCAGAGCAGAGCTGTTGAGAATGCTTTTTAATTTACTGTTTGTACACTAAGTTATATTATGCTTCAGGAGGTTAAAACTAGGAGACAGCTATCCATCATCAGTGTTGTTAGCCATGAACAAAGCAGGCTAACATTGCAAGAGTAATCTTCCTGGTTTGGTTTTTGTTTGGTTTGGGGAGTTGGTGGGTTTTTTTTTGAGTTTTAGCAATGCCCGCACCATTTATTCATTGATTCATGCATGGGGTGTTTTTGGTGACTGTTTGAGCAACAGAATTCCTTTAATTCAACCCAGAAGTAGCCAAAGCATTTCTCAAAACAGACAGGAAAATTTGTAAGTTGATGTGGTAGTGCCAGCCTGCCACCACCCTGAGTGACAAGCGGTACCTGAACAATGATACCTAGGCAGCAAGCCTAAATAGGACCTAAGTCTAAATATTGAGAGTCAAATTCCTGTGGTAAAGCAACATTTGCAAACACTACTGCTCAGAGATCCAAAAAAAAAAAATTTAAATTCTTTGGGGATGTGGGGTTTATTAAATTATTTGCTTATTTTTGCAAATGAATTTGTTAGGACCTGACTGACGAATCAGTGAAGTCATCAGTTTAGTAGACAAAGCTTCAGGTCCATGGTGAGATCCCATCAGTGCTACAAAGAAGCTGTCAGACAATTTTCAAAAGTCACTTTAATGAATAATTTTAATGTCATTAATTATCTTAATGTTTTATTTGGCTACAAAAAACAAAGGGTTGTTGTTTTTTCCCTCTGCAGAGGCACCAGTCTGGCCTGTGATGCCACACATGCATTGTTCATCTTGACTTTAAACCCAAATTCTTCTCTTTCATTACAGGGTAGTGAAATAATTAAACTGACTATAATTCAATGTATTCTTTGGACAGCTGCAAGTTAGTAAGGAGAAGTATACATGAATATACACACACACACACACACACATATGTGTGTGTGTTTACTCATATGTGTACTTCTGCTTGCTAGATATATATACATGCACACACTTATGAACCTACCTGTATAGCCAAAAAGATCCTTTCAGTATTTCTACAAATCCATCATCTTTTGATTCACTTGATATGTGATGGCCTTGTAACAGTTTTTACCAAAAAAGGGACATAACATCATAAAATAATAAAAAGTAGAATCGTTCACTGAGAGACCTGGTATACATTTAAATATTAACCATAAAATAAAGTGCATGCAAAATTATTTAGTTCTAAAAATACAAATGGAGAGCGCTACACCACTTTCTTATGCCATAGTCTTAATAAAGCCTCTGTGAACCTGAACAGATTTTCATCTTCTGATAGATCATCATTTATTTCTGCCCCCTATCTTATCTCCTTCTGGAAATGAAGAAGACATGGGGTGAGCGAGGAAGCTGTCCTTTCAACATATGTTCTTAGTGAAAAAAAAAATCAAATTCTTAGATTCTATTTTATTATTTTATCAGTTTCTAGCTTCTGAAAGCATTCTTCTACAGCTATTTGCTAAGCATCTGTGATGGTAATCTGTATTTCTTTAGCTGCAGGTATCTTCAGTTATCAGCTTTTTTATGTGTCTGGCTAATACTCCTTTCTAGTGAATGTTACTTATGAGATCATAAATGTAATAATTATAATTTACAGCCTTAAAAAAAAGCCACCGCCAAGTCTGCCACAAAGGGATTATGCTTCAGGTAAGGCTGTATTAATGTAAATTTAAACTGCATGTCTGTGTTAATTTGCTATCTATATGCCTAGCAGTATTTCAGCTATATAGTTCCTCACAATTTGTTTTTAATGAGAGAACAAGATACCATTATCAACAACTCTGAAGGTAGTTCACACCTCTGAAATGAAAGGCAAGAAAAAAATGCTTAATTGTGCCAGCATGAAGAGTAGCAAGTAACCACTCTTTCAAAATCAGTCTTAATCAGAGTTCTGTATCTAGGCTGCTGTAAAAATGGAGGAGAATTTGCATGCAGCCCCTCCTTACAGAAACTGTGCAAGTAAATACAGAAGAAATTGAACAAATGCATCATTACAGATTTAAAATCATAATACTATTAATGTAATGATGACATCATAAATTATCTTGAAGGTAGACCTTTACTTGCTTATCATACAGCACACAAACTAGTTCATGGCTGTTTTTACAAGTTAACAGCCATCTTGTTAAGATAAGACTGGAAGAAAGCAGGACAGAGTTTGGAACTTACCAGGTAACTGTTCCCTGTTTAATATAAACACTTAACCAGCTTTAACCAGGGCCCAGAGGTCAGCAGAAGTTCCATTATCTAGAAATTGTCATCCCTACTTAAAAATGAGATGCATTGTGGGTAAATTGCATGCTCTGCTGTTCAGACCATGCACAGTTTGTCATTTTCTAATGCTTTTCCAACAGTTCTGAAATAAGTTGTCAAAAATAAGCAAAAAGGCATTTAATTTACTATTCTGTCCAAATAGATGTGTTGCTCGGAACTGTTTGGAAATTTTGCTCACTCTTTTTTAACCGAATATGATAACTATAGATTGAAAAACCAATCTAAAACAAACATTTATATTTACTATTACATCTCCTTAAATAACTCTAATGTTTGGTTTAGAACACGCAGACAATGAAGAGGAACAATGGTCAGATGATTTTGTAAGTACATATTTCGGGCTAGTAGGAGGTTACTGTGGTAACAAGTTAGCACAAGAAATAATAATAAAAGTTTCTTTTAAAATCATCTACTTGTGGTTGAACTAAATACTGAGCCAAACAAAGTTGGAATGTTATTTTTTACATCAGTTTAATTCACAAGTAGCCACTGATTTTTAGCTGCTTCAATTTTTTTACATTCAACTTAGAAGTGCTTTCAGAAGCACAGTCAGTGGTAGCCACGAATGCTAAGGTTTTTGGATAAGTGAGCACACGGCATCAATTTGAGGAACTTCCTAAACTGAACAATAATTTCAGAAATCAGAAGAAGGTTTTATTTGGGGCAGGAAGGGTGGGAGGGATGAGGAGAGGAAAGCCACTTCTTACTAAAAATGAAAACTTCTGCTAAGATTTTAGAAAAGATTAGAGTGAAGCAATTCATGGCTGTCAGCTGTGTAAAGTAATGGTGCAATTGTCAGCCTGAAGTGACCAGTTTCCTTCTGGAGTCAGATATTGAATACCCTTTTAACTGGAAAGGGAGAGGAAGTGACAACACACACCAAGATCCATCTGGCTGGATCTAGAAAGGAACTGTCCTGGGGAAGGAAACAAGCTATTAGTCCGTAATTTGAAGACCGAGCTCTTGAGGTAGAAGGACTCCTTGGAGATAGCAAGAAGGCAGGGAGCTCCTGGGAGGAGGCAGGAGTGCCTCTTTGCAAGAGGAAGCACTAGAAAGGAATATGATGTGTTTGTTCAAGGGTACAGTTTTGTAATTTTCTGTTATAGAATGCTATGAGATGAGAAATGGGGAGTTGTGTCTTTCTAGGACAGTGATTATGAAAATCCAGATGACCACTCTGACTCTGAGATGTATGTGGTCCCCAGTGAAGAGAATCCTGATGACAGCTATGAGCCACCTCCAAGTGAGAAGGAGAAAAAGAAGATTCCCTCTTCATTCCCTGTTTCTAGGGGTGAATATGCAGGTAGTTATGAAATAGTTAACTATGTCACCTTGATAATTGCTTTTTGATCAGTACCAGAAGAGAAGAGGCCCCAATGCACTAATCTGTCCTTTCCTCGAGAGTTTGCTTCTAATTTTCATACTCAGATGTTAAGCATTCAGGGGTATGTTTTTTTGGGGTTTTTTTATTACAGTATGAAACAGGTTAGCATTGCCAGTAGTGATGTTTATAATTTTAATACAATGTGTCCTAGAGGCTGTGATAGACATCTACTAATGACAGAATTCAAGCAGAGGTATGGGAGATACTGTTAACTTGGGGCTCCAAATTAATCCACATATATTGATGCAGCAATTACTATTGAAGATGAGGCACATCAGACTAGACAGGTCCCTTCTTAAACTTCTCTGTTTCTCCAGTCATTATTCCCAAAGCAGTAAAACAGTAGCCCAAATATTCACTCCTTCAAAATTGGTACTAAGGGTGATAAATATCCTGAAAAACAGGACAGGATCAAGATTTTATTTACATCAGTCCAGTGTAAAGGGATTTTTTTCTTTCTAATTTGATTCTTTTCAACCATGGATAGGTTGCATTGAAGTGAATGAAAGTTAGCTTCAGTTAGATGAAGATCTGAGACGTGGAGAAAAGAAACATTGACATGATGCCTGCTTTCATTTTTGTATGATACCACGCTGTTACTGGTTGTGGAATATTCATCAAAGTGTTAAAATACCACATGTGTACTCATAGAAGTTTATCAGCCCTTGACCTGTGTGTTCTTTGAAAAGGGAAGGACCTGACACCCCAGAGAACCTGGCATAATTCATGTTCCAGTCCCACCCAGTGTCGTTTTTCTCATGTCTCATATGCACTACAGCTTTTCCCCAGGGAGCTGAAGAGTTGTTCGTACAGCAGCCAGTGTCTAGGCACCCGCTGCACCTGATACAGAGGGCTGGGCTGCTGCCCTGAGCAAGGAAACAGGACCTATTTACACACAAATCTCAACATCAGGTCCAGCTGTGCTCAGGTCTGCCATTCGACCTGTGCTGCAGCCACAGCAAAGACTTTTGCACAAGCAGTAGGAGAAAGTGCAGAGACTAATGTGTAATTTTTACTCAAATTGTTGTTTTCTACCAAATTAAAAGACAATCGCACCAGTCACCAGACGCTTCCTCCCATCAACAAACCTCTCCCAAGTACACCCAGTCCAGCCATGTCCAGACCAAAGAAACCATGTGTGCCATCCATGCCATTGCCATCTCCTGCTGCAAAACCAAAAGTGCCACCTAAGCCTAAGGAGTGCAGTGATGATGAGGTAAAGTTTACAGATATGTTTGTTATAACTGTGTAAATGTCATAGCAATGCCATGGTCTGGTCTCTTTCTTAGCCTTTGTAGTAGAAATCATTTTGTACATCACTAATAGTGACATGCAAGTGCCACACTGACTCCTAGGGGATATCTGCCTGCTTTGAGTATCAAGAAGGCTCTTCAGACCATGGAATGGCTCCTGATCATCTGTAACAAGCTGCAGGCAGTGGGGAGAGAGAAACCTCAAAGGCTACTCCAGGACCAGAGGGAAGGGAGGGCTTCCATGCACCAGTGGAATAATTCTGTAAAGGATTTTCAATCTTTGGGATTGCCTTCCACATAGGACGATAAATGTCTGAAATAGGAGTCACTGTGAAATGGCAACTATTGTAAACTGCTGCCAGGACTTCAATCCAAACACTTTGATGACATAATGGAGGTTTAACTGAGAGATTTGTGTCCTGCATTTCCCATAGGATAACTACATTGTGCCAGTGGACAATGATGATGATAACTATATTGAACCCACAGAAGGCAGCATGTCACTACCTACAAGATGTGAGTTTTAGTCATTTAAGCTTATACTTATTGCTTTATTAGGAATAATTGTGGAAAAAAAAGGGTAAAATTAATGTCTGTTTCTAGGGTTCAAAGAGTGGAAATGTAGCTATTAAAGAGATCACAGCCTGTGAAAAGGCAGTTGGCTCTTCGGCTTATGACAAGGCCAAGGAAAATTATTTTTAACTTTATTGGAAGACATGTTTAATTTCTGCCTCTCTCAGCTGTTTCAAAGTTCAGCCCTTGTACAACCAGTAGGCTTCTCATGACATATGACCTGCCTTCTCAACCAAAGGAGCATTAAAATTAAAATTGTCTGTTTGCTGAAGTGCTTCAGGAGAAGAACAAGCATTTTTAGATATTTAGTAGATAAAGACAGACTTTACTTTTTTTTTTAGTCTCACTTATATATATATTTAGCTAGAGAATGAAACTACTACAGCCCAAAGGTGAAAAGTAAACAGAGAAGAGCATGTAGTTCTGCTCTCTGACATCACTGACAATATCAAACCTCTTCAGAAAGGCTGAAATACTGAATAATCCTTCTCTTTTAAAAAATGAGAGCTGCTTTCTGACTCAGTTGATTTATTCAAGGTCACACAAAAGGTTGTCATTTGGACTACTTAATATTCGTTCTTATTGTATAAATGTTACATTGTTAACAGATGTGTGTAAATATATAAATATATGTGTATATATACACACATGCACAAATATATATATATGTACATTAATAAAATATGTTTATAGCACCTGTGAACAGATTTATGAAGACAACAAAGCCAGCCCCCCCTATTTCTCCAAAGCCTTCTCTTCCTTCTATTATGCAAGGTATGTGAAGCTTGCATTGCTGTTAGAATACAATAATATAAGACTGTGGAATATTAAATTATGCCCGATGTATTCACACCACTAACCCTATGACATACTGAAGTAAAACAAAAATATGTTCCCCTTTAGCCTTTCTGTGTTGTAGCAGTTGCTTTGTCTAGCTTGAACAGTAAATCCATTTTAAGCATGAATAAAACTAGAACAAGTTACTTGCCCCAAATTAATTTATTTTTAGTCTTTCGCTCTAGTAGAGGAACACAAATGGATCAATACAGCAAAAAGAATTATAGGAGTCAGTATGTCAGTAATCCCATTTCACCGTAGGAATCAAGACCCAATACTTTTAGATCATTAGACTTAACCATGTAGAAATTCTGTACAGGCCAATGTCTTGCATGGTCTTTTGTAACAGTGTTCCCATTAAGATTCTATAAAGAGCAGTTTATTTGGAAAAAGAAACAAAAGCAGAAGCAAATAAGAGGAAGCCTACTTGCTTTTGTAAATTCAGATATTCTTGTTTAATCTCTCTCTTCCAACTTAGACTTGTTTTGCATCCTCATTCTCATTAATTGCTTGGATGTAACCTTTCCAGACATGACACAGTTCTTTAAAAAGCTTTGCATATTCATTAGCAATGTGTTTAGCTTTAAAGTCACAAACTACAAGTCGTAAACTAACATTTGTTATGAAGTGCTTAAGATTTTGTGAGTTATTTTCCAGATATTTTAAAATGCCCTTTTCAGTCTCAGCCTTTCTGTAAATCAGCGTCGAGCAACAACCAGTTCCTGACAGATGTCACTAAAGAATAAAACATCTCCCCCTGGTGGGAGCCGGGACACTTGAGTGCAGTTAAAGTGATGAAACCTGACATGAAATTTACTGAAATGGGATTCTGTTTGCATCGAAGAAACTGGGCATAGATAAAGATGCTGGTGTTTTTTTCTTTCAAGGTCTATGAATTTCAATATACTTGCGGGTCAGAACTCAGGGAGGGATGTTGGCCATGCAAAGGAGCCAGCTTGTATTTATGACTGACCTGATTTCTTCCTCCCTGAGTCAAGGAAAGGCTAAATGCTGCTGCAGGTGTGATAACACATTTTTTCCAAACTGACCCAGGTTTGCACAACACAAGCGTTCATCTTGCTTGCAGCAGGGAGGGAATGAGAAGAGAAACAGAACAACAAAAAGATTTTGTGATGGGAGTAATCTTGATTAATACAGTCACTGTATATCAGAATTCCTGTGACTTCACCTGAAGTTCCCCCCAGAAGACAGGGGGTGTTGGGGGTGTTGCTGCTCCAGGGTTTTGGTGGCAGATTCAAATTCTGAGCAGATTCTCCAAGTTATTTTTCCAGAGTCACAAGTATGACTGATAGAAATTCAGATCAGCTTTTATGGGAACATGCAGTATGTTTTTGCTACACTAAAGAGTGCTTTTTATTTCTTCCCTGTCCTGTAGAAGTCTACGAGGTTCCTGAAGAAGAGGTGAGGCCTTTCTACAGTATGACTCCCATTGCCCTCAGGCAGGGTACAAATGTGACTTTGAGAAAAGATTATCAGTCTTTCAAAAGGGAAAACTGGGAACACATCTCTTCCTGCACTTAAAGCTTTCTGACACTCCCTTTTCAGAAAAGCTGGCAAACCATTTCAAAAGAGTAAATGGGAAGGGGCAAGTTTCCCAGTCCTCTGTGATAGTGATCCAATCTGTGAAGCAGCAGCCTAAGGAAATGCTTTACAGAGGCAGAACTGCAGCAGAGGAGCAATGACAGTTCTGACACAGTAATTTTTTTCCCATTTGTTGGTACTGACATAACATATGGCCAAAGCAGATTTACTGATGTTGAGTTCTTGCCTCTCCCATCCTAATGTAGATTACCAGACAGAGCTCTAGTAGAAATCTGTATCACAATGCAAAAATAATATCTTGATATGGTAAGATAAATAGGATCATACAAATCTATTTTATGGAATTAAAAAGTGACCAAAAAACAATTCAGTGCATTTTCTCTTACAGGAGAAACCATCACCACCACCAGTAACCAGGTAACCCATTGCTGTGAATGTTTGTGCATTATTTAAAAGTGTCAGAAAAATATTTTTTCTCATCTAGATACTACATGTCTGGTAATTCTTTCTCTAGAAGAAATACAGTAACAGAAGTAATAAATACATAGAGTAAATATCTCTTCAGATTATCTGCACAAATATTATCAACGATTTTTATGTCAATTTCAATAACCCAAATGTAGTACATAGTAAAAAGAAATACTCTTAAGGTTACTTATTAGAATTTTGAGGGGGTAGGGGAGAAGAAAGAGAGGTTTTGTTTGTATTCACTGTTGTTAAATGTAATTTTCCTTTCTTAATTCATGTTTCATTACTAGGTTCACCAAGCCACTCATGTTTATGCCTGCACAGAATACAGAGCACTCCCACATGCACAGCATGACCAGAGAGTCACCTAAGCAGGATAATTCCAGGTAAGTTAACAGCAGCTTAGATCAATAGGAAATATTAGCAGAGAAAAAAATTTCTTCTCTCTAATGTGTAGATTTCAGACAATAAACAATTGTCAGGCCACTCAAATAGCTGGGGATGGTAGGACAGGATGAGAACCAAAAGCTCTCACTGCTTTGTTAACTTCTGTGCTCAAGGCAGTTTGCCATATGGATAGGATTTTCTGAAATACCCCTTACAGGATCCAGTACAGGGATAAAATATCTCTGCCAGCCAGTTTAAGGTCCTTTTAGCCACCTCTGCACCTTTACAAATTAGATGTTTTTGCAGCTGTACAAGATGCCTTGTAAAGAAACTGGGCTCAGTAAATCCATGGTTTATATCCCAAGTCCCTGGCAGAAAAGGGAAAAATCATACCTGAGTGTGCAGCCTACTTCACTCCTGTGTCCCCAGAAGCATAGAAAGCTGCATCATAAGCCTTGCCGCCTCTCTAGGTCATTATTTTACAGGGTATGTTACGTGCCCCCAGAAGGAGGCATCCACAATACTCTGTGTGTGAGGGTGTTTGGTGAGGTCCTGTGCAGTCACAGGCGACCCCAGGTCTAGGACAGGAGCTGTTCTAGAGTAGTTCCACACCAAGGGCACAGCATCACCACAAGCACTGTAGCTGTGCAGAGCTGAAATCAAATCCATTTACTGCAGACCTCCTTCCCTCTAGATCTTAAAAAGCCTATCTGAGCCAATAAAATAAATAAATCCAATTCACCATAACTTACTGTGTGTATTTTTCAGAAATATTTTGCCTCTCCCCAGAAGTCGTCTTCATCCAAAACCAGTGAGTAGCTAATGGGCCACTCTAAAAGAACATGTTAAACTTAGTTGTTTCATATATAAGTAGATGGATTATCTATTTATTATCTGGATTAAATAACAGAAACAGATGACCAGATGTCAGATTCATCTGCTGTTGTGATTGTTGCTATTAATCCTTTGGGCAGAAGAGCACTGGACATCTCTGTTGATCCAAGAAAAAGTTCAAATGTTTTTTGGGAAATACGGGATATAAGGGATATATGTTTCAGTCCGCAAAAATAATTTCTTGTACTAAAAAATACCCGTTGTACTTCAAGAGCCTTACTTTAAGTAGCAGAGGATGATTCTGTCCAATCTGAAGCACTTTTCCTTGAGCCTCATTCTTCTCAGATGGTGAATGATTAATGCTTTCTGAAAATGGAAACCTTCTAAAATGTCAGACTGGGTAGTGTGACTAACCAGTATCACTAGAAAATGCAGTTCTTGAAGAACTAATTACAAGCCTTGGGTCCTAAGGCTGTGTTTCAGCCAGTCCTCTTCTCCCTCTGCCTCCCTCTGCTCTTATCCTGTCTGTCCCTTCCACTGTGCTGGGCTTTTTTTTTTAAGCAAACTATTTGGAAACGTGTCCAGCTGCAGAAATGAGCAAAAGCAAATTGTAAAAGATTCTTTTTCAACCAGATCAGCTCCATTAATTCATCTACACCATAGCTCTACTCACAGCTGTGCCAGTTTGAGAGGGTCTTCATGAGGAGCCAACTATCCAGAACAGAGTAACATGTTAACTGTGTCAGCATCTGTGCCAAAAGCTGCATGCTCAGACCCTGTCCCAGCCCTGTGCTCTGAATTGTCCCTAGGAAATAATCAGTCTACCAATAACTATATAGAGAAGTTAGACACTTAAAACCAGGAAATTGGGTTCATATAATAGAATTAGATGTTATGGTAACAGTGCAGGTGGTATATGAGCACCTTATATCAGTCTTTAAATTTCTAGATGTACCGAGCAGTTTGTATGTACAACAGCATTTTATTTTCCCTTCCACCTCGTCACAAAGTTCTTCCCATTTAGATCTGTGTCCTGTGGGATTCTGAGCAAATCCTAAACAGTGCCAAATTTGGGATTTCTCTTTTATGAAATAGTTTGATTTCTCAGTTTTTTTTTACCAGTACAAGATAAGAAAAAAATCTCGTGTCTCAAGGGAGAATGTTGGACAGAAATTCCACTATCTGATCAGCACTAAGAATACTCCTGCTTCACAACAGACTTGAGTCCCATATTGCAGCTGAAACCTCTCCATTAATGCATTTTCAAAGCTTGCATTTGAGATGGATATCATCCTAGCTTTGCAGAGAATAAAAAGAGGCTGTCATTTAGCTGGAGCCAGCACACTGAGTTACAGCTTCAAGATGAAGGTCCCAGACACTCTTCTGTACCACGGGTGTATTCAGCTCCTGGGTGGTTGCAGTTCACCAGTTTGTCACAAGAGTCAGCCTAGGAAAGAGTTACCCAGTGCAGTCCAAATTTTGGGGTCTTTGCTTGTCTTGTAAGTGGCAGCCTTTACAGTCTTAAAGGAACACATGGTAATGAGCATAGTGTTTGTCCAGTGCTCTGTTGTTCTTTCCATCCCTGGCTACATTGACAAAGCCCAAAGAAAAACTGAAACATCTGCTAACTGCTCCCATTCAGTCTGCTGTCAGCACTAACCAGCACTGATCATGTGCACAGAACTGTAGCCCTTGTTCCTCTCAAAGGCCTGAGCTGACTGGGAGAAAAATTTTGCCATGTCTCATTTCCCCAGCTGCTGGGTGATGGATTACACCTCTCCAGCCAGAGAATGGATGCATTTGTCACTAGTAAAAAACCATTAGCTGGGTAGAAAAAGACAGACAAATTAATAACTGGTGCTTCTTTGAAAGATACTTATCAGATGGGAGTCTTGATTCCCTAAAAGTCAAGAAATGGGAGCCAAAATTAAGCATCTCCCAAAGAAGCCAGGATATTAGTTGGATTGCTTCAATTCTAGCATGGTGACAAGAGAGTCTACTCAGTTTCCTTGATTCAGTGGAAGATGTATTTTTAGTCTTTCAGGTCAGAAATTGAACATGGATCAAAACTAACTCACTGCAAAACTAAGGCCAAATTTTCTCAATACTTACTACAAGCAATCTCAAGATTATAAGAAAGTTTGAAATTTTATGGTTGCTTAAAATTTTTCAAATGGCATCATGAAAGTCTTTTGGATACTATATGACTTCTGAACAAATACTTCTTTAAAAATTACTACAGATACCAAAACCATGTTGATTATTCATGCAGTTCTCATTTAATAATCAAAGAATTATTCAGGCTGAGAAAGGTCTCTAAAATCAAGTTCCAACTATTAATCCAGCCACCGTGTTCACCACTAAACCATGTCTGTAAGTGCCACATCCACATGGCTTTTGAACACCACCAAGGATGGTGATTCCACCACTTCCCTGGGCAGCCCGTTCCATGCCTGACCACCCTTTCAGTGAAAACATTTTTTCTAACATCTAATCTAAACCTCTCCTGGTGTAGCATAAGGCCATTTCCTCTTCTTCTGTCTCTTGTTACCTGGGAGAAAAGACTGATAACCGTCCTTTCAGGTACTTGCAGAGAGCCCCTGAGCCTCCTTTTCTCCAAGCTAAACATGCCCAGCTCCCTCAGCCGTTCCACATAAGACTTGTGCTTCAGTCCTTTCACCAGCCTTGTTGCCCTTCTCTGCTCCATTACCTCTGTGTCCTTCTGGTAATGAAGAAATTAAAACAGAACACAGTAATTCTTTTTTTAATTCCTTCATATCAAATCTAACCTTTTTTCCATTACAGGACCATGAAGCAAACAAGACTGATGAAAGTAAGTATTCAGATGCAAACACAGCAATATGAGAGGGATATGCCACCAATATAGCATGCCATTAGTGTGTCGATGTAAATTTTACCTCTACAGTCAGCAATAAGCAAGAAGTGTTACTGAACTGTTCTACTCTATAATCAGACTGAAAACATGCTAAGAAAAAAGATTAAAGCAGTGGATATTTTTTACCTTTATTATATTAACACTAAAATGGCAATGAGGAAAATCCACAGTTCAGATACAGCTCACATTGCATACTAAATATATTGCTTACATCTCTAGGTCAAAGGTTCAATAACACACAAGAGTCCAGATTTCCCACTGGAGCAACTCCATCTCCATTACCAAGGGGCCTGTGAGTAAAAAATTATAAAAGTACTTCTTTGCTGGAGATGGGTTTAATAGGTGTATTAGGAGCTAACTCCTTGCCTGTAGCGATTAGAATTCAGGAATAATATTTATTCCTTTTCATGAAAGATATCCTGACTAGGTAAAGGCAAGCTGTTATTTTGCTTTTTCTGGAGGAATACTGGTTGTGTGCCAAGTGGCCTTGCCCTTCGCTGCCTGCTACTGGTGGCAGATGCTGGCTGCCTTGTCTGATTTACTCCCGTACTGCAGCACTAGCACATGCAAGCCTGGAGGTGCAGAAAGCTTTCACCAAGTTCTCCTGCCCTCCCAAGTCATGTTAAGTATTGGGCAGAGTTGTAGCTTCCTTGTGTAAGTACCTTTAGTGAGTGCCCACATTGCATCTGATAATACCCTTATTCCTTTTTCATTCTTCTTTGTTTATAACTGCTACAAGTATCCAGTTAATCCCATCTTAGACAGAAATACCCTGAGAACCAGTGAAACTGATGCTTAGTTGCTAAATGAATCCATATATCTGCTAAGTAACCATATTCTTTATTTTTCTTTTTCCTCCATACTTCAGCAAGAAAGCTTCTAATGCAGTAATTTCACCAGTAAGTTGACTTTAATTGCATAACCACCCAAAAATTTTATTATAATTTATTGTAAAACTTAATTTTATCATGTGTTTGGTTACAAGATAAATGCAAAAAATACTAGGGGGAAGAGTTATAAAGACAGGAAATATTTGGGTGCTATTACACGAATGAAGAGCAGTGATCTTTCTCCTCAAGCAGAAAAATATTTTGATCAAAGCAACGTTTGAATTCAATGCCCCAGGATGTAACAATAGACACAGTGCATGAACTGAATAAATGAGAAATAGATGGGAACACACACAATTCAGAAATATTCCCAGAATGTACAGAGCTGCCTATGGAGAACATGACTTCATTGAAAGTGATAGCTCAAGAAATATGCAGGTTTTTACCAGAATTTGTGTGAAGTTTTTCAGTAATTCGAAAAATACCCCAAAACTTCTTGTGGCAGAAAGTAAGAGGACTGGTTGAAATTTTCAAAGAAATTAATTCAAAAAATGTTTCACAACTGGCAGTTTATTATCATTGTTTCAAAATGAAAGCAAAAAAAAAAAATTTAAAAGTGGAAGATTGATTCCAGTTTTCCTGTGAGCTAAACTGACAGTTTAACTTCCAGTAAACAGAAGAAAATGTGTTCAGATATTTGTATGCATAGTTCAGTATGGGCGAAAATCCAATTTTCATTTTCAAGTATTTGGGATAGACTTCTGATTTTAGCACCTGAGACAAGAATGAACCATCTAGATTTTAGTTTTTATCCATCTATTTATACCCACAAGCTGGGATTCTTTCCAAATCTCCTTTGCAAAATCCCAAACTTCAAGGTCATACAACTAGACTCTTCACAGAATGGTTACGTTCCTGCCTCCTAATTCTTCCAGGATGTTGTCAATTCTAAACTGTTTCATAAAAAGTACAAATTATAAACGTTTGCTGTACAAGTGCCAGTTAATACTTGGTTGCCCTTCTCTTTCACTGCAGAAACCGTGTTTACCTTCCAGAGAGACCTTAACTGCAAATGAAGGTAAACTATAGCCACTAATGTAAAAGTTGACATTTATCTGATTTTTTTTTTTTTTTTTTACTAAAAACGTGAAACAAACAGCACCACATTCAAGTTACTGTAGGTTTTGGAGGGGTGTTTGGTTTTAGCAGTTTCAAACTGGATCTGGGCAGCCTTAGTTGCAGCGAGTATCATTGTTCTCTGAGAGCAGCCGCAGTAGAGCTGCCGAGGTCACTGGCAGGGTAATGTAGCACAGTAATGGACCAGCAGCGTGCCATGGAGCCCTGGCAGCGGAGAAGGGGAAGGGAGGGACGGGCTCTGAACTCAGCCAGAACCGTCCCTCAGGGAGTGACTCCTGGCCAGCAGCAGTCCCTGGCAGGGGCAGGGAATCCATCCCATCCTGGCTGTGCCTGTGCCCGTGTCTGTGTGAGGCAGGAGCTGCTGCCTCACTCCGGGCTGGCTGCCCTCCCCCGTGTCACAGAGTCCCACGAGCCCTGCAGGCATCCATAGCACAGGTATTTGCCTAGAACTAGTTAACAGCAGCGCAATGGCAAGCTGCCATGTCAGAAAAAAACCCAAATTTATAGTAAAAAAAGCCTCCTTCACCTATGGGGACTCCCTAACCTGGGATAACTTATTTCTGAAGGAATCTTGACTCTACCGTTTGTTTTCCCAAACCACAGAAAAACCCATGGCACCAGAACGACGGCGCAATTCCAGCCAGGAACTTCCACTTCCCCCCCTTCCAAGTGGTGCCCAAAAGTAAGATCCCTTTCCATCCTCTGGGGAATATTGCAGTGCACCAGCTGTGAGAGGCTCAAAGGGGAGCACTCTTTTCACTGGAGCCTCCTTGTTGCTCTCTCAGAGCTGAGACTCTTGAAGCCTCACAGTACCTCACAGTAGCAAAAAAATAAAACATGGCAAATGAATGCATACAAATACTATAACCATCACCAAAAAGCATGAGGGGATATAATCTGTAATAAGGTGATGGAGATTTAAAACATATGTTTAAATTCCTACTAGTGGGATATCACTTTTTTGAAATACCTGTATCAGACCCATGTTTCTCAATGAACAAATAGGTGAGATGGAACACATTCTACCTGCATATTTTCAGTTTTCATATTATCAGGACTGAGTACATCCTCTCAGACCTTTCTGTAATCTCTTGACATTTATTTCAGGCCTCTGCTACAAAAGCCCTCAATTCTGCCGAGTAAGTATAATACAGTTTTTTAATTAAAATGTGATTAACTTGTAATTTCAAATCAATATTTGAATTAAAATTATTTCAAAATACCTTGCATATTAATCAGTTTGGAATTAGTGTATCTGTAATGTATTCAAAGAGGAAGTCAAGTATCCAAGATCTTAGCTCAGCTAGTAAAATTAAGGGAGTATCTCAGGATTATTGATGAAAAGTGGGTGCTTCATTTATATTTATGAATACTGGAAATCTCTAGCAAAGGCAATTTGGGTCATTTCCCATCTTAATAAAGATTCCATCAATCTTCCTTGTCACAGAAGAATCCTAAATATGACATTTCTGGGCTGCTCCAGGCTTCTGTGGCCTACAAGACAGACAGATTATTATTACATTCAATTTATTCTTTTTCTACAGAAGGAAAAAAGAAGGTACTTTTATAATAGCAATTGCTAATGCTGTTTTCTAAGTAGTGCTTTCCAAGATGGACTTTGTTCAGTTCACAGCTAAAAACGAATTAGATAATATGTGTATAAATCCTCTTTATACAGAAGTGTAAATTAGATTCAACATTTTTCTAGTTGCTTGTTAGCAGACACTTGTCTGACCTTCCTGTAAGCTCTTTACTGTACATATTCAGTCTGAACATATCCTTCACATTGTAAACAGATGGTGAGAATGGCACATAAATCTGCATTTGGTGTAGCTTAAACTGACATGCTGTTATTAGTGTAACTCTTTCCTGGAAACATTTGCTTGATGCATGTTGCAATTATATCTCCTGTGCTGAGGAAGTTCACATTAATATAAGGTTCACATTAATGCTCTTGACTGGTGCACTCCAGTCTGCTCCCATCACACAACTGATGTGCTTCAACTTGAAGCATAAATTCTTACAACTTCTGGAACTGTAACTATTCTTCAAGACCATCTGGTGCTGAATGGTGCTCTGATTAGTAAACTTTCTTCTGCATAATCTTACTCAGTGCCAGGTCCAATAACAACTTTATAATACACACCACTGCTCCCATAATCACTGATGTTCCTTCAGCATAACCTGCCATCTCCTCTTTGGATACAAGCCTAGAGCTAACTTCCACCTTCATCATTAAAAGTACTCACTTCCCATATGGCACAGTGTCAAAAGCTCTTCTGAAATCCAGATTAAGTACACTGCCACATCCCCTCTTTGTAGAACTCTGTTATTCTATGAAAGAGCTGTAACATTTTATCGACTTGGCTAAGATTCAGATTTTCTCTTTCTGGTTGTACCTTTACTTCCGAATCTTGATGTTACTTCCTTCAAATTCTCTCCTAGGGCCTTGTGTTCTGTGGAATCAGGCAAAAAGCCCTGTAGGTGCTCAAGTCACTTTTTCACTTTAGGTATAGCAATTATGTTTGGTACTCTTTAATCATTTGGTACCATCCTGACTTGAAAATTACGTAAAATAACTGTTACCACCCCTGAATTTCATGTGCCAGTTTTTAAAATTTCATAGGTAAAGATCGTCTGGGCCCATCAGTTCAATTGTACTAAAGTTATTTAAGCTCTGCTACCAATTTGATTGTGGAAATTTCCATTTCTGTGCCAGAACTACTATTTGTTTAGTAACTAGATTATCTTTAAAATCAATAAAATTCTTACTGAATAAAGCCCCACCCTCTTTTCTTTTTTACACATGGCCAAGGCATCTTTCATTACTTATCCTTTTGTCAGTAATCTGTCTGACTTCTGTCAATTCTTGCTTTATTCCTACAGTCTGCTCTCAGATGTAGCTTTAACAGGCAGTCAGTCAAAATTTGACAGAAAACCCAAAATCTATAATATTGAATAGCCTTCTTCAGGTGATTATTAATTCATTGAGAGCTGAAACTGCTCCCTACAATGTCTCCCCTCCACTTGGGATGCAGCTTCCAGACAATTGCATCTTTACTACAAAAGAAGTACTTCACACAATTGTCTTTGTCTCCAGTCCAACTGCATTTTTTAGTTGTGGTCTTCTCTATAACATTCTATTGCTTTCTAAACCAATATCTAAATCACAAATTTATTGGTGAAGATTTAACAATGAAGTCTGCAGAGCACCATATCCAGAAAGGGTAGCATTTGTTTTCCCTAATAAGTAAAGCACACAGGAAAAAAAAACTCCAATAATAACAAAATGAGTATCACTCAACTTTCTACAATGATCTTCTCTAGTATATTGATTTGCATCCAGCTGTGTTCACAAGTACCTGTAGCAGGCACCAACACTGTTGGGCCAAATTCTTTTTTACCAGAAAGCAATAATCCATACTTCTTTCATCATATCATTACTAGGCAACACTACTTGAACATTTCACTTCTGATTTCTTAAACTCTTACATCTGTATTTTAGCCCTAGTAACTATTTTCAACTATGCTTTGTTATTCCAATTAAGCATCATAAAGTTTTCTATTAATTCTGCTTCTTTTTTCTGCCTGGACTTCTTGCACATGTATGCAAACAATTCAGGCAGTCTAAATTGGTGAAAAATTATCTCTGAAATAAATTCATTTTCCTGACTTGCTCACCTGTAAGACTGCTTCTCACAGTGGACTGAGAATTACTTGCATCAAGTTCCTGCATTTTCTTATCTGTTGCTACATTCATTCACTTTGATGGTGGAAGAGGTTTTTTCCTGTACTCTGAGTCTAGTTTTGGCTAATAAGCAAATTGTTATCCAGCCTGGTTTTCCTTCACAAGCAAGGCTAGCTGCCCTTTGGGCAGGCAAGTGTCCCAGCACTTAGATAGGTCCCTTGTAACAATTCAATTTCTTACATCATAACAAACGTGCTTTGAAAACTTACACATGTTGTTCTTCCTCTTTTCTAGAAGTGCCGGAAGCTGCAAACCGTTCTTTGGGTGCTTCCCCTCCCAGCAGCACCTCATCTATTTCAAGTTCTGCGGACCAGGTATAATATTAGCTAAATTCATATTACAGAAATCTCCTTATCCTTTATTTTAAAATAATATTTCCACCAATATTAATAGAAAATTACACTGCTGGAGGGCTTCTATGCCCCTTTTGCAGTGAGGCTTTTTTGTAGCACAAATAATCTGAATGTTAGCTTTCATTAAAACATGCTCAGAACACATAGCATAGGAGAGGTTTAACAAACTGTAGAAAAATATGTAAATAGTATTACATTAAATCTTGTCACCCTACCAATCACAGAAACCTTTAGTTTCATGTCTTCCTGACTCTCCAGTTCATACTTTCAACATCATTGAAACTAGGAAATCTGTGGTGATGTACTTAAGTCTAGTCTTTGATGTTGATTGCTATAAAGAGTTTTTAATCATGTCCTTTTTTCTAACTTATAGCTGTACAAATTGTGTGCAGGAAAAAAAGGGTGCAGTAAGCAAATACAATGATGCTGCAATGCCTCCCCTACGTGTTTTAGTCTCTCCCAAGTCCAGCTCCTTTCTGTTCCTTTAAACAGATCTCATTACAGTTAATGCTGTTAGTTTTATGGCCAATTCTTTTTTTTATGTGTTTTGTTGCAACATTAAGCTTTGAATGATCTAAGCAAATGGAAGGTTATTTTCATTTCAGTGCTATTCCCCTTACTCTCATTTTGGATGAAGGGAGACTATAAAATGCAAAAAGCTGTTCTTATAAATCTGGTAGTCACAAACAAGGTAAAAATAGTTCTGTTGAGTGTAAACCAAAAGCTCCATCGTGCACAGCCAGTAACAGTAAGTGTTCTAAAGTCTGACATGACAAAGATAATACAACATTGAAGAACACAAAGGATTTGAAGTTCTGGAAAAATTTAACTGTATGTAATACTAGATATTTATTATAAAAATTACTTTCAAATAAGCAATCCAGAACACTCTACATAACAGGTTGTAGCAATTACATTTGCAATTTTTATGTAACAGCCATGGGCAGAAACAGAACTTAATAAAAGATCCATTTTGTTTAAAAAAATTAGCTGTTAGTGTTATTTTCCCAGCAATTGTATACAGTGGTATCATTTGCTGTAGAATCCTGCACAATACAGGTGCTCACAGATGTCATTCATTCCCATTACATTCATTCTTTGCTTGGTTCCCATCCAAATTTTGGCAGCAGCTCTCTGCTTCTACATTGTAGGCCACAGACAGTGGTAGAAGAAAGGTCTGGGGGCCATTGATTTCTTCTTTTGTTGAACAAAGAGATGTACACTGGACTTACTCTCTGCGTGGACAAATACCTTTCATATCTGCAATTCCTCTCAGCCTTTCTTTTTCCAATGAATAGTGTGACTGGAGAAATAAATGGAAAATTTTTGAAGGTAAAATTATATGTTGTGGCTTGAGCCAGTCTAAGAATTTAGTGCAGTGCCCCTAAAATTGAGGCTCTGCTCTCTCTTCACTGTCAGCTCCTCTCCCAGCTTCTATGGTGTTCCTTCTTGATCCTGCAGTGGGGTTGAGCCAAGTCATTAAACTGACAGAAAATAAGCTTGGCAATCAAACACAAAAAAGGCAAAACAAATAAGGAAAGTTTTTTGGTTTTTTTTCTCCAAGTTTAATAAAGTGAATTATCTCACCATGGGATCAGATGAGCAGCAAAATGAGCACAAAGGAGAAGCCAAGACACTCTCTTTCTGGCAGCAGTAAGTCAGCTAGACCAGCTCAGTTATAATTTGTACAGAGGTGACAAAGCTTGTGTGAAAATTAATTTTATCATTAAGCTTGTTACTGTAAAGCTGGACCAAAACTTAGCCAACCATCATGCTGTCCATGTGGAGACAATCATGACTGTGTTCACCAAGAGCGTTATTCCTTAACATTTCTCAACATCTATTCCTCTTTAAATTCTACTGGAATAGCTTTTGTCTTTAGAAGATCCTACAGTTGAGCCTGACTGCTTTCGTCAGGGCATCTCTTTTGTCATTTATCAGCCTTCTATCACAAATCTGTTACCACTGTTTTGACACTCCCAGTTTTTCTTTGCCCCACCTCTACTCAACTGAACTGTGAACTCCTGGCAAAGAATTTTTTAAACTCCTCAGTTTTCTGCGTTTTAGTTCTTCATAGCTGTCACTGTTTAGCAGTAACTCCCCTACAGGCTATATTCTTTATTAGGTGAAACACTGTTCCTCTCTTTTTAGGACGCTGGTGTTCACAGTAAAGCATGGTATGCTGCTACCTGTGATAGGAAAATGGCAGAGGATGCATTGTACCGATCAAACAAGGTAGGTCACTTCTAAAGAATGTCTGTTTTATGGAAAAAATCCCCAAAACTTCAAATAAAAATATGTTTAAAAGACAAAAGAAGTATTGTCTTCTTCTGTCTTTTAGAAGACAAGTATTCAAAGAGCATCAGTTGCCTTCTGAACAGGTGCCCTGCAAGTACTGTCAAACCTGGAGTTATTGTGGTGCCATTAGTTAATGCTGGCTTTCATTGCAACACCAAGTTGCATTAGTGCAACTCAAAGCACTGCAGAGAAAGCTGTTAGAGACTAGAGAGCTGAGGGAGATCTTACAGCTCATGTACACCCCCTTAAAAGAAATGCAAAGTCCAGTGGCTTTTAAGTGGTCTCCACCACTGTCCAGTGGCTCATGTGAAAACAGCTATTTGGAAAGGCTGGTGGTGTTATGCATTTTGAAATAGCAACACTGTGCATTTAGGTGTTTGGAGAATTTGAGTTTTCTCAGCTATTCTTTGTACAAAATCTAGCGTTACAGGAGGGAAGAGGAGCATGTAGAGTTGCATCCTCAGCATCAAGTACATTCCACTCTTGCCTAAGTCCACATAGAAGGATAAGGGGCAGAGCATGGGGGCTATCACCAGGTGAAGGCTACTGTGAGTTAGTGAGCACAGGGCTACATGGTCAGGACTGCAGGTGCTTGACTGGGTGAGCTCCTTTTTACAGCTCTGGAGAAATGGTGTCTTCACCTCTCCCTGCTTTCTTCCCTACCTACTGCCACTGATAGGAACTATTCCCTAACAATCTGTGGATCACAACAGATGGCTGCCACTGTGTATTTATTTCTTCATTTTCTCTCTGATTGAGAGAGAGAACAGGCAGCAGCAAAGCTGATTCCTTTGCAAGCTACTGTTAGCAGGAATACGTGCTATTTCTCATCTGCTGCTATTATTTTTCTAATGGGAGAAAAGGGTTTAATGCTAATATAAATCAAAATATTAAGCCAAAACCAGACTAAGTTGTTGGAAAGAAATGAGCCTAATACACTGACTACTTTTCTCTCTTTAGGATGGATCTTTTCTAATAAGGAAGAGTTCTGGGCAGGACTCACGGCAACCATATACACTGGTTGTGTTTTACAACAGAAGAGTGTACAACATTCCTATAAGATTTATTGAATCAACAAGGCAATATGCACTGGGCAGAGAAAAAAGTGGTGAAGAGGTGAGATGATGTGGGGGTATTTTTCCTTACAGTTTTTAATTATATACCTTCAATAAGTAAGGACTAAGGTAGATTGCACTATGACCACAAAGATTCTTCATGTATGAAGATAAAAATATACCCTTTATAATGACCAATCTGTCAAGCTAGAGAAACCAGTGTTATAACAGCTCCTGTACATGGTAACCAAAACCACTGATCAAATTCTAAACATACTCATAGAGCTGTTTAAATAAAGTTAAAAGGATAAGAGTTGCAGCTGCTAGATAATTTTCTGACTGTTTATGGTCCTCCATTTACCTTCTATCTAAAACTCTAGTTACGTTTCTTGGAAAATTGCAAAGGAAGAACAGCCATGCTCAAAAAACAAAACCCCACAACACTACTAAAAATGAGAATGGAAGCAAAGATAAAAAGATGCAGTGGTTACTGTCAATATTATGGCATTAAAGGAAGCCAGCACTAATTATTTTTTTCTTTATCCAGCGCTTCGACAGTGTTGCTGAAATAGTAGAGAATCATCAGCGCACCTCCCTGGTTCTAATTGACAGCCAAAACAACACAAAAGACTCAACAAAACTGAAATATGTTGTAAGAATTTCTTAATCAAACTGAACTGCTGAAATGAAGACCTCTTTAATAATTTCTTTCAACATACCGAGACGTGGACAAGCTATTAAAAGAAGAAAATCCAAAATGATGGGAAACACTCTTCAAGAGCCCCTCCAGAGTAGTAAGAAATGCATTTCATAGAGCTCAACCCCACGTCACTTTTTTCAGAGAAGTTTAACACAAGAAGGCAAAGCAGATACACTGTCATCTGTGACAACATGGGTATCCAAAGTTACAGGAAGGTCCTCTGACTGCTGTTTGAAGATAGATTTCTTGAAGGATATTTTCATTTGAAAAATGAGAACACCTACAGTGATCTATTCTTTCAGTTTATGTTTACCACATATCACTGCTTTCAGCAATTTATTTGTAAAGTGCACAGCCCCAGAAATTAGAGCAACTTGACCTAATGTACCACTGTACTCAAGTTGAAAATAGGACTGTACTTGGATTAGTGGCAATAAATCCACCTGAATGTTTTAGATTTATGGACATGTGTTGTGTGTACTTTCCCTCAGCTTCACCCTGTTTCACTGATATTTTTGTTTCACTGATATATTTGTTTGTATTTTCAAATGTAAAAATAAAATTTAAAAATACTGTAAACTCAGTAGTGTATGGAGACTTTGCTGGATTGCATTTCTGGCACCCTTCCAGCAAGAAAGCATCAGTTCACTATTGTTGATGTTTTAATGTGTATATTTTTATGTGCTCCTTCACAATGTTATGAAAAAGTATCACTTTTTACAAGTTTATCTCATATATATATATATATTACACACACACATAATTTGGCTTAATGACTCTCAAATCTTTGTCTTCAAATTGCCTACTGCTGATGACCCAGGTGTACTGCATCATTGCTAAACTAATTACTCACTTCTTGCTGAATTACTGTTTTATGGAGACACAGGAAAAAAAAAACACTTTTTTATATGATAGCCTGTTCTATACTTACTATAATATTGTGAACAAAGTAAACTTCCACAAATATTCAAGTGGTAAAAATTAATTTGATGAATGTATAAATTGCATCAATGAAAAATTTTTAGGAGCAATTGTTAACTAGTTCTAGCAGTGTTTGATTTCACTGGACCTGAAGACTCCATCTTAAAGGTATTTTCCAAAACTGACACTTTATACATACTTAGTTTGTTCTTTTTGTTCCAAATTAGGTAGTGTTCTCTAAGATTATATTAAAGGCATTAAAGGCAAGACTGAGTCAAGACCTGTAAAGTCTCAGCAAGTCACTTAGGGCCATAGGGTGGCTGAAGTCTGCAAATACTTTCTTCTGCTTTTGATCAGTTACTTCTAAAAGTCACGCACCTGCCTTCTAGTAAGAACTGTGTGCCAACAGGGTGCTCAGCACATGGCTGCCTACATACCTTGAGGCAGGTCAGCTTCTTCCCTCTGCAGCACAGGCAACACTTACCCAAATGTAATGTGATAACACACTGGCAAGTAAGAAACAAGGCATACAGACTACACAATCCTATCTATGACAGACCATCACAGTGCTACATAAGGGCTGTGTTCAGTATATTGCTCAGTTGGTATTAGTTTGATATTAATACTACGCTTAATACTACTGAAATGTTTAGAACGCTAAGATTGCCAAGTCAAGGTGTAAAAATTAACAGTAGTGTCTGCAAGTTTTATTTGCTCTTTCTATATGTGTACTATTATATTATTTAGCTACTTTAAGCATCACTTTAGAAGCTATTTCAAGCAATAGTCACAGTGGAAGTACTCTGGAAAAGTAGTCACTGAGTATTTAACTTCCTTTGCATTCATGTAGTCCTTGCCTTTCACTCATGTACTGCACAGTATTTAAACTTGGTACTGTCTGTCTGCTAACCTTTCTGTGCTGCTCCTCAAAACCTCTAGATTCTTCAAACATTCTTTCCAAGTTAAGTATGCAGTATCTCCATCATTCTAGAACTGGAGGGAAAAAAATAGTGTGAACAAGGGAAATTCACATGTGTATCTTTAATACAAGAGACTAGGTATCACTTTTTTAAGGTAATTAGCACTGAGCACTTTAAAGCACTGCTGCTCCTGCCCTTCAGCTGTTAGTGCTCAGCACTACATATAATACTGTATATTATATACACTTATACTACATATAAGGCTGACCTAAAAATAAGAAGTATGTTCTAGAGAAAGGGGCCTTACCTTCATCCTCAAACCTTACTTTACTTTTTATCCATGTTCTACATGATTATAGGGCTACCTTATAGTTTTGACAACAAAACAAGGCAGGGAGCAGGTAAGTAACACAACCTTCCACAAAATAATCCAATCAGCCTGAAATGAGAACTTCTTGGGCACAAAATAAGGCTCGTTGGGGGGACAAATCCCCCCCACCCAAAACACACACACAAACACACCAGTTTGTTATCACTGACTTTACTATAGCTGTTGTTTTGTACAGGAACAAAGGCAGCAGACTGGTTACTCTGCTTTCCATACCCAAACTAGATCTGTTATAGTTTGGCAGGACTATGGTGCAGATGTATTTTGAAACAGTTTTATCTGGAGAAGGTTTAAGTAAGTTTCAGGTGTAGGACTGTACCAAGTTACCATTTCCTACATTCTGGATATAAAATAGTCGCTCAGGATGAAGCCTGCTGAGTTAAAAATCCCAGTGCTGTGGGCTGAAAAGCCATTACAGAATGCAGGAAATGGTGACTTGGTGTGGCTGTTGCAGTGCCAGCAGTCACCTTAATGCCACCACGTGTGTGCTCCAGGTAACAGGTATAGCAAGTCTGACCTGACAGACACAGCAACACACCTCTTCCCTCTTATTTCTTTGATATTGTGATATTGTTAGCTAATTTCCCTTCCATATAATTTATCATTCACTGAATAGCTAAAACAAAACAAAAAAAACCAAAACCTCAAAAAAATACACACAAGCAACCCATAAACCTAGAACTAAAAATGAATTATTTTGTCTGAGAACTGAGGGCAAAGTGTCATATTTAATAATGCACAAAGGAGAAGTGTTGTCTGCCTACCTGATACAGAGAGTACAATGAGTACTGCATATCCTGACAATGTTGCTCCATGAAAGGAGTAAGAACTTGCATTCTCAAAAATCCAAGTGTTCAGAGACACAAGGTACAAAACTACATTCTTCCTTCAATCAAAAGCATCAGCAGCAAAAACAGATTTTTAGGAAGTGTTGTTAAGAAAAAAAGTGTGTCACATAACAACCACTCTGTAACAAATTTTTGTTTAAACACTGGAATTACTGAGGAAGGGCACCATGACTTACTGATGAATACACATCTTGCAAAGAACACATAATGGAACAGATTTTAGGCCTCTTCAAGATCATACAAAGGGTTGATGACCATGTGCTTGCACCTCTTTGTATGTCCCAAAACAATATAATCAATTTAAGATTTATCTTGCTATTTGCAATGTTACAAACTATTTTAAAATGTTATGGTTGGATAGTCAAGCACTCAAAATCAAGACACTTCAAGTTACCTGTGCAACCTTATCACACCAGCTATATCCATTACAATACAAGCATTAAATATACAATCAACATTTTTCCATATGGATTTATGTGTTTCACCTGGTTCGTGCAATACTTCAGGGATAAATTGTAGCTGTATAATGAAAAACTGTGGTTTGTAGGATATTTGTAGGATACCTTTCCCCATTTACTGAAAATGCTGAGAAATGCACCAACATTGCAGGAGTCAGCCAGTAAAAAGGTGGCTTCATACAGTTAAAGTAGTTGAACTGAAGAACTGAACATATTTTCCCTGCATCTTCTACCACACCATCTACTGCAACAGAGGTCAGATCGCTTCAACCAAATTTTCTCCTGATGGTAATTAATTGTGATCTCAATTTCAGTGAAGGCCCACTTGAGATTTTCTGAAACCTGATCTGCAGAAATGCTGAACTCTAAGGACCTCCAACAACAATGAAAAAGGTCGTAAGAATAAAACTGTATATTTAGAACAGTACTTGAGCAAGCTGCACTAAATAATACGAGGACCTAATTAAGGGTGGGGAAACAAAATACTGAATCGCTGCCCAGGAGGAAGCAAAAATTCTCTGCACTGAATGAGATGGATGTCCATGCAAAAAGTGACACGTGCCAATTAATTAAGATCATACAAAGCAACCTTACTTCAACATTTCCTAGCTTTACAATGTTTTCACAGTACCATTTAAGGTCAATTCATACAAAAACAAACAAGTTGAAAAAAATTTCAGTGACACTTGTCACTCTCATGATTCATCAATACAGAGAAAACCCCCTAATGCTACAGCAGAACTTCCACCTCAGTTCTAAGTAGTTGTTAATAAAAACTGGTCATCCTTGCTGAAATTGCACCAAGTAGGTTTAGAAACAAACTTCACATATATTTTTTCCAAAGAAGGCAAAGGCAATGTCAAAAATTCACAGGTTCAATTTCAAAGTTTACAGAAGAGCAAGCTGAGGCAAACAATAGATCCTTCCAGCTTAACATGTTTTTATCCTTTCCTAACGCTGTTTCTTTCCAACCTGCTTCCTCACCACTACACTGGTCTTCTTCAAAGTTTCCAGCTAAATTAACATCAGAGCTCAAGCCCACTGTGCAGCACAAAATGATCCAGTTACATACACAACACATACCAACTGTGTATTAATTCACCCAAACTACGCTGCCTTGACTGCTTCAGTTGTCTTCCATACATAACTCACCAGCTGCAAGGCTAGTGTACATCTTCCTGCCAACACACATATCAAGAAAGAAAAATTTATCTAATCACTGAAGCAATTGTTTTTAGGTAATTTTAACACTTTTTAAAATCTAAGTTGAATTCAGATTAGTGGTGACATGCCTGTGACAGCCATGACTTCTTACTGTTTCAGTGGCAGCAAGCAATCTTCATTTTCTCTTTAAGGAACCAGTAACAGAAAATTGCTGAGGCTTCCTTACAATCTAAACCCACGACTTAAATGCCCCAGTCCTCTCCAAGCCTACTATTCAATTTTGACAGCTTTTCCATCAATACTTTGGGAAGCTGGCTTACACCTTCATACTTGGGCAAAAGGTGCCAGCCATATGGTAAGAGCAATCCCATGTAAGAGTGAAACTTCTAGCCTACAGAGGTTCATTGAGAATCTGGAGGACAAAGCCTCGAGACATAATTACTGTGGATAATAAGGACTCTAATCTGCATACCCTCAGACACTATGGTTAAGAGGTCTTTTGCTTACATGCCCTCATATAAGGATTAAAAACTGTAATGCATAGTCTGTCTTCATTGTATCTAAAACTGAAAGTAGAAAGCAAGCAGACCCCTAAGAACATTACCCTTCTGGATGGTAAAATAAGGGAAGGGTAACTCGAGCCTTGGTTTTGCCAAACCCCTGGTGCCTCAAGAGGCAGTATATCTGAATAAGCAATAGTAGAAAACATTAAGTCATTATGGGGACAAATTACATCCACCTGAAATAAAGTTATGATGCAATTACAAGCCTAAAATGGTGCTCTGCACCTCCCCATATCCTGACCATCCCTGTAGGGTTTGTGGCAGACATAACAAAATAGAAACATTTTCTATAAATGCTCAAAGTCATATGCTGTAAACACAAGTTATAGCAAATTTAATAGTGACAAAATCAATACAGATTAGGAATGTTCACCATTCTTAAACACCATATACATTATGAATATATATACTGTATATTTTCAATCAATTTCATTCTGACTCACCGTATTAACACAATCATAACATGTTTTATTAATTTATATGAAAAATACTTCACTAAGAAAGTAGACAAACTGCACAGAAATAGTACAAGTGTCATGTGCATAGCAATATAGCTTAAAGCATTCACATATGGCTTTGTTTAAATGAAACTGTGGGGGAATGGCCCTATACGGACCCATGGTTACACAGTCAACATAATGTAAACTGCTTCACATCTTTGAGGCACTTGCTAATAATAGTGTTCAATCCCTGAAAAATAAAATCAAGAGCTAATAAGTGAAAGTAACAAAAATCCCAGGATAACAGCTGTGTGTATTTGAAAATATTTTAAAATTGGTTTTAGTAGTGCATGCACAGAACTGAAAAACTGGGGAGAAGGGTGTAATTTCTGTGCAAGAATTATACCAAGTAACTGAAAAGTATAAAAATATTTACAGATTTAGGGATTTTAAGTATGTACAGAACAAAGGCCCTGAAGACTCATTCTATAGAATAAAAATATAGCACATGATAGCAGTAATAAAAATAATATATATTTTTATGGAATTGTATTTGCAGTTAGTTACAAGTTATTTAAACCACAATGTTCTTTGATCTTTCTCAAATCTGATGGCAATAGGAAATTTTAAAACACAAGCACTTTGAATCCTTTTTCAACCTCAGTTACAATACTGACATACAAAACAGAATGACCTGTGTATTCTAATCCAACTGGGTTTTTTTTTTTTAACTTTAATGACTATTTTCTTCACTGCTCCTCATTTCATTAATGAATTCCAATCTCGAGTTGCCTCCATCAGATGCCTCTGTCCATGTCCTACCCAATTATCCTGATTGTCAAATATTCTACCACAAAACCAGCAGCTAAACTTAGCTTTCAAGGTATTATTAGAGGTAGTTTTCACAATCTGGTAATTGTTTTTGCTAGTCTTTTTCAGCGTCAATTTTAAGACAAATCTTTCTTTTACAGGGTTAAGGGGTTTTATTGTCCCGTATCTTTTTTGAGAAAAATTATCAGTAGTTACATCTGAAGGATTGCAGAAGTCTGGCTGCAGAAGAGCATCAACAGTTCTT